GGGGGGTTTTTCCCCCCCCGCCTCCACCAGCGCCCTCTAGTGCTGCCTGTGTGGTAGCGCTGGCTCTGGTCAGAGCCGGCCATCGGGCACAGCGGCCCGGCCCACCGGGCAAGTACCCGGTTTGCCCTATGGCCAGTCCGGCCCTGGTCACGTTTCATCTTCACTAAAGATGGAATTTGGTCTAGGGTCAGGTACAGATTTCATAAATCAGCTTTGATCTATTTTTCTCAGCAGGTATAATGTATTACTATTCGATGTCTCCTTCTATAAATTATTTTAACCTGAACATGTAATGAATGAGACTTTCAGTATTCCCATCATCTCATGTTCCTTTCAGAACCTGCCAATGGCATCTCAATGACTGTGATTATTGCCATCGTCTGTGCTGTTGTTGCCATCTCTGTTGGCGTTGGAGTCTTCTTCTACAAGAGTAAGTGACAGATCTGGATTTTTTTTCTGAAATTAGGAGAATACACAGTTAAAAACTTTGGGTGCCCTCATATATTGGACACAAAAAATTAGAAAAAATACGAAGCATATGATACAAATATATATCCATTTTATTATGGCCGCTATGGAAAACATAAATGCACAAATAAAATCTCCATCCCCATCTCCTGAAATACACCTATACCGTGATCATATCCATTGAGGTTTATCTGTAAGGGTCAATGGACACCCACACTATGATGTCACCTCTATAACAATGTTAAACTCAATTTAGCAATAGTGTATATAATATGTACTCATGTATTTATATATGGATCCTATTAGTTGCATGCAATGATAGCGTGCATCTCCCCTTTAGCATGTCTGTAACACACTGGTATATAGAAGGCACTATATTGCAATAGTTGTTGGCCTTTAGAATTACTATGTAACATTCAGATTCAAGAGAAAATTATTTTAAATGGATGGAAATTATCTGAATCAGATCCGTGATTTCTAAGTGCAATTCAGATGTAAATCCACCTCAAAAATAAACATACTTGGAAGTTCAATAGTTTGTAATCCATTGCGGATATGGTCCAGAAAATAGTATTCAGGCACAATCACCATATACACAAGGGCTCCAGACAATATCCAACCGCAATAGGGAGAGCCCAAACACTCCACATCGGGGAGCATGTGTCAAACACTTTCGCATTATTGTAGATCACATTGTCCGGGAATCCCAATGTTTCAAAAGGTTCAGAGGTGTCAATGTATATTTACTGTATATTGGTATACTCCTTTCAGAATGTAATAAAAGATTCCTAGAAATGAAAGTCTCCTGTGAATGACAATGCAGAGTGCACAGTTCATATGTACTTCACCCCATTCATGTTAGATGCACTTGCGATGCAAAATCCATGAAGAGAGGAGATCCATAGAAAGAAACAGGAG